GAAAAAGATAAATGTCATTATGTAAACAGAATTGGGTCAAACCTAGCATAAGTTGATGGGGTCTACTTTTAAGGTAATAAAATATTTTATTATTGATGATTTTTTTGTGTTTTATATAATAATACTTCAATACTAAATGAAATACTTTTTACACTGAGTATAGTATGGGCCATAATTTAAACTAAAGTTGGCTTTAGTGTGTAAGGCCACCACTCCAACCTAACCTAAGCTATACTGAATGTATATTTACAAATGCCAAGTTAGTTTTACTGCTTTATTACTAAATTGGATGCCCTATATCAATTTGATTTGTTAAACAAATGATAATATATACGAAATGAAGCTATTTCCACACATAAAGGGCATTTATCAAATCGATTGAACCGATATAAATTTCATTATTTCATTGTAAGTGTTTTGAACTAGTCGAAGTTCATAGAAATCACCTGCAGTAGAAATGCTCATAAAACAAAAAATCAATTATTTGTGACTATAAAAATGGCTGGCAACCTTGTTAGCACACTGTTCTTTAGTTTGTGAGTATATATAAAGTTATAAAAATGCCTAAAATAAGGAGTGCCTAATTATTTTGATATGCCACCAGCTTGGCATTTTCTGCTCATCAATCGCCAATAATGAGTCCATACATTAAGTTGGTTTGTTTGTCTATCAGTTTCAGTGCTTGATGCAGATTGTTTATTTGGTCTGTTTGAATGGAATGGAATTTAATAGTAAAAGAACAGTAGCAAGAATCATAAAATCAAAACAAACGCACTAAGTATCTCAAATTGTTTTAAATTTTTAACATGAAGAAAAATTGTTCGAAACTTTTATTTAAATATTTGTTGATCTAAGTAATTAGTAAAATTACTTTGAATTTATGGTAAAACTTGTACAAAACATATAAACAAATAATTAAAAAATTGTATTTATTGGTTCATTAATGCATTCTCATATTGAAGGTATTTGAGTTCAAATGATTTTTATTTTCAGAATGCAAGGAATTTTGTTAAATGTACAAGTATGAGTACAAGTGGATTGGCTTAAGTATTAAAAATACAATTATTTTACAATTTACACGGAGTGAAAATAATTTGAAATCTTGTTCGCTGTTCAATGTTTTATTCTAAATATGTATATAAAAGTGAATATTTAAAATAGTACATTATTAACGAAAATAACTTTAGGTTTGGTAATGCCAAAACCTTTAATATTCTTTACTCAAACAATCTACTATTATTCTTTGTATTCTAGAATCGAAGAAGTGAAACCATGGTGAGTCTATCATATCTATATCCTGACTATATGGTGGGTCAGGATCTATCATATATCTTGGATAGATCACCTTTTATTTTGGGCAATGAAATAAACCCCTATGTTGTTTTCATAGAAATAATAATATCATTAATTAATATATTGGAGACACAAAATTTTATTGGATAGCCGGAGTAGTGAAAAATAGATATATTAAAAATCAGATCAGAGAAGAAGTTATGTATACTCTATCACTGAAAAAATATCTTCAGGATCTATCATATATCTTGGATAGAAAACTTTTATTTTGGGCAAGGAAATAAATCATTATGTTGTTTTCATAGAAGTCATAATATCATTTATTAATATATTGGAGATATTAAATTATATTGAATAGCCGAAGCAATATATTTAGAAAGGTAGGCCGAAGGTAAATATATTTATTAGAAATACAATAATCACTTTCTGAAGACTCAAGTAGTCGTAGCCTTTATTTATGATATTGTTTTTAAAAACTGATTCGAACTGTTAAATCAATCAAAAACAAATTTGTCTTAATGAAAAATTAATATTTTTCATAACGAAAATACATCAATATGACGGTCATAATTTAAAGCTCTGCTTTATTACATATATTACACATAAAAAGCTGTGCAATTTGTCGTAAAACTATCGAAAATTGGTAATATACATATATGTTACATATGTGTTTGATGGTCGTTTTCGATCCGTTCCCCATTTTGTTTGTGACACCTGTTGGTATAAGGATGGTGGCCACCTACTGGTAGTGGTACATTTGTGATACAGTTTAAAAGTATAACACAAATTTTATAACGATAGAAGTTGGATGGAAACAAAAAATTTGATCTAAATTACGAATCTAGTTTATATATTAAAAAAAGGATTAACAGTTTTATCAAAAAACGGCTTTAGAAGTGATATAAATCGTTTAACTGTAGGAAATAATTCGTTAAAAAAATGCCATTCATATAATTGCCTTTAATCCTTCAAAGGATAAAAATCAATGAAGCTTAATGCCATAATTTTAATGTTAGAGAGAAAGCATGTTATTCTAATACTTTTTAAGTTTTTTTTCATTTTTTCATTTTGAGCATCTTTTAGTAATAGGTGCATTAAAGGTTTTCGAAACAATTATTGCTACCAAAAATTCATTAATTCTAACCCCACAGTCATAAAACGTAGTGTAACAAAATAAGATACAATTCACAAAAAATGAATTAGAATGACGGCGACTAGGAACCTGGAGAAACTGTTGCCACATGTTATTAAATGGTGCTATATAAAGCCAGCACCGATCATCCAATTAAGATTAAAGAATAATTGTACAGCTACACAACAATATGTAATCAAAGATGGGGATCGTATGCTTTTTTTGAAAGGTGAAAAATTTATTCGTCAACTGCAAAGAAGCCAGAATCTAACAAATGCAAAGACAAAGAATGACTAGCAGACACAATAAGCCAGTCACATACTAAGGTAACTTTAACTAAAAATATGTTAGCAAAAATCAAATGATCTTTTGGGTTGAACTAAAAGTAGTTACTAGTTATTAATCATTTTGTTTACGCCCGTCATTGCAGGTCATCACTTGATATATTTACATTCTACTAGATTGGGTACCTCCAATAAAGAGTTCTGTAGAAACTATCAGGATAAGGGCATGGAAGAAAGGGTTATTATGTCGCTCTGTAGATGAAAACTTGGCTTCTTGAGAGTTTTTTACTTCCAAAAATTGGCAGGGATATAAATGAATTGTTTACCATTGATAGTTAAGGAAAAGTAAGCATTCCAATGGAAACATAATGAGCCGCTAAGTTACTCTATGTCGAAAAGTATAATATAAATTATTAGAATGTTTATATTAGTATCAACCACTGGGGTTTAGGTCGTGTTTTTAAAAAAATTTTATATTTTTATATAGTTTATATAAAAATTAAAAAATTTATTATAAAAATTATTATAATAAATATTATAATAATAATATAATTTATTATAATAAAATTTTTTCTCTCATTCTACTTTTCGATAATTTGTTAATAGAGTATATAATTTTAATTGAGAGCAGTTTCTATTATAAACTAAAAGCTTATTAATGAAAGATGGTATTTTCTGAATCGAACATTTTTTTTCACACATTAACATATTTCTTTTGGAAAAATTCTGACATGCAAAACATAATATATTCTGCTTTCATTTTATTATTAAGAAACAAGTTCCTGAGAATCTCCAACTTCTGTCAATTTTGCTAAGGGTAAGGATGTTATTAACTAACCGTAATTTATTAAACGATATAATTGTGAAAATGAAGATAATATAGTTGGCAACCTGTAATGTAGTGTAAAATACTTAAATATATTACAGACTAAAAATTTCCATCCGTTATTTAAATAAAGGGTTCTAATAAGCTTCCTTTTTGAAAAGTTAGCAGTTTATTTAAATATTGTTGATCAATATGAAAGGATCATTATGAAATAAGTTTGTTTAAGAGTAGCTTTAAATTATGGATTATATATAAGTTATAGATTCATAATATATATAGCTCAATATTTGCGAAGGAATACCATATATTACTTCGACTATGGAAATATTCAAATAAATCGAATCTATATTTTATAAATAAATATCTATGAAGTAATATTTCTAAATATATACAGACGAGTACAAATTGTTGGCAGTTATAATACCTGTGTTGATGCGTTTAATTTATATCTAAAAATTATATCACAAACGATTATAAATTTATCATCATTTTGTTCATTAAAAATATTTTTTTGATAGTTTCCACCAATGAAAAGTGTGAAAAGCTGCTAAAATAAATTTCAAATAGACAAGTAAGAGTAAATTTTTGATAGATTATTCCATCGCTAGTCCGGTGATCAGTGTATTAAAATAACTTTATGGAAAAATGTAATACCGTACGTGGGCGCCGAAATTGCACATTGTACGTGTAGTTAAGCTGATTTCTTTCAAAAATTAATAAAATTATAAGGAAAATTCAATGAAAACACGTCATCTAATATAATTAGAATATGTTTATAATTTGACTAAAGTACGTGGAATTTATTAAGAATAAGTATGCTCGTCTGCGTTCGAGCACATTAAACTTATCGTTGAAGAAGAAGCCTGGAAACGATAATAATTTTCGCAAATGCAATCGATTCAATAAATTCTACTGTTTTCTATCTATGCTCTTAAGTTAATTTATGTTTATTTTTAATTTGGCATTATAAATATATTCATTTACAGTTTCCGATCAACTCAAGAAAAACAAAAACAAAAACAAAAATCTTCGCTAAAAATAGTAACAAATAAATTTAAACAAATAACAGAATTATTTTTTTAAAAAAATCAAAATTCAAAAAAGAAACTGTGTGCGGGCTGAGTACAACCGATATACGCGGTTTTATTAATATACATTTATGTTTTATGTTTCATATAAAACAGTTTATGTATATTGAAACATAAATTAGCAGCTATAAAATTATTCCGGATTCAATGGAAATATTAAGCGAACTGAAAGAAAGTCTTTATTTTTCTTAAAAAAAATTTTAACCAATAGAGATAAATTGATTAATATAAAATTTAGTAGTATTTGGGTTTACTATATAGATAATAGAAGACCCTATTCCCTCTACAATATCTTTATAGATTTTGATGAAAATGAAATGAGAATTATTTAACAAATTTGATCATTTTCAATGGAACCTTGAGAATCATCGGATTACCTGTGCCCGTTGGTGCCTTTGCCTTGAATTTGGGTGTTATCATTATTGCTGCAGGCGCTGCTTCTGTAAAATATATATTTTTTCTATCAAATTAGTCTGCCAATTTACTAGACAACACACTTCATCAATTTTTTCTTTTTCACTTATTATTTTGTGTATTTCCTGCACTTATTTACGATTTTTAAGATTTTTAAGATTTTTACGATTTTTACGATTTTCATATAAACTAATTTGTTTGAATTTCTGTCTCAGTGTGTATTCGATATGTAAAATGATTGAAAATTTTATATTACATCACTTATTTATATGGAATTTTAATTTAAATGATTTGTAAACACAATTTACACGTTGGAAAAAATAATAAAAATTTTTAAAAGAAATATTTTTTGGGAATATGAAAACTCAGCACATAAACACACAACTTCGACTAACCCTGTCCCATTTTCCGCAGTTGAAAATTTGGCACTCTGTACGCCTCTGCGTCCGACGCTCTACTTTGAAAAATAAATTTTCAATTTTAATTTTTTCTAAATTGTAAAATTTTTGGTCGAAATAACAAAATGAGAACAAACATTTCTTCTTCTTGGTCTTTTACTTTTACTCGTAACTAAACAACAAATTGAGCACGAAATGAGATGGACGGACCTCCAATGAAAGACGCCAAAATGATTTTGTAAACAATATTTCTGTTGCTCAGTAATAAAAACAAAAATCTTATAATTTTAGACCATAGACCACAGCATACAGAGGAAACATAAAGAGAATTCACTAGATTAACCGAACAGAATTAGTTCTTCTTATATACACTCGTACACTACTCAATTTTTATGAATGATTAAATAATATTAATATAATTATAAACTTATCTGTATACACAACTGTGTTGGTATTCCGTAGATTCTCGTTCCTCTGAACTTTCTATTACCGCGCTATCTTTCAACACTTTGACTTTAACATTGATCACACCAGGGATCGTAACAAGTTTATTATTTTTAAATGATTAAACTGAGAATAAAACGTTCATTAGCCATTATTCAGAAATCTGCAGAAAACCCGAAATACATATATACTCGATTTTAACCTTCAATTAATAATGAATGGTAACTTACTAATATAATAATTTTTTAATATAGTATCGTTCGCCAAAAATTCAATTAATTAAAAATATAAAAAAATATTTTGTTGTTGCAATTCTACTACTGTTCGATAAAAACCGCTTTATTGAAACAACAGTTTATATTAAAAATTTAGTTTTAAAATTTAGTGTCAAAATGGACGTTGTACATCAATTTATACATTTGAATAAACATCAAATTAATATATTATGTAGAGTTCTGTCGAATCGAGTTTTTGTAAAAATCCTTAAAATTTCTACTTGTTATGAAGGATATGTTACTTAGGTCCTATAATAGTTTCAATTTATCCTAATTAGATAAAATGAAATGATTGCTGTAAAATCGTTGGAATTTTTATGTTCTTGTTGAAATTAATCAAATTTCACACTGTTGTGTAAAATTTATTTAACTAGATCTAGATTTAACATTTAATATGAATAAATATTTATTGGCAAATCAAAGAGTCTAACAAAGAAGTTCTCAATAAAATTTCATATACCTATAACTCTATAAAAAATGACATAAGATGATTGAGGTACATAAATGGCCCAACTAACAACCTATACTGTGCTCAAATGCGACTACCAATTCAATTAATTACACAACATGAATCTTACAGAAGAGTTGAGTTATTCGATTCTACAGGAGAATAGGAGTCCATCGATCTTAAGTGACAAGTCTATAGAACATGAGTTCGACTACCCATATTGTGTGGTAGTTACTGCTGGGTCAAAAAATTCGAGGTGTTATTGGGGATATGATATATTCAACTAAATATCTTCAAAAGCAAGAAATTAAACTCTGTTCTCTTTCAATAGTTCATACTGTTGTGTAGAATACACCATAATAATTTTTCTTAATCCGTTATATAAAAATGATCAAACCAAAGTTCAAAATTTTGTTCGGTTTTATTTATAAACCAAACACTTGCCTTATAATGAAACAAATACATATACAAATTATATGTATATATTATATCTAACATACACTTTATATATTTTAGATTATATCCTATACTTCAGTAACTTCTCTCTAAAGTTTCAGGCAAAGCGATTTAAAGGAATTCTCAGAAACTAAAATCCAAATATGTTTAATATCTGAATAAATTCACTGTAAGAATTATAGTAAGATCAATGTAGAATATATATAAAACAGCGAGAAAATAATAAAATAGCATCTTAGACCAACCAAAATAAACCAACCAGAATCTTATGTCTCTATACAGCTTTGATCGTCATATGAAAATAATCATACCTACTTTTATAACATAACGATGCTCACAAACTACAGACAAAGTGTCTCTGATTTTATTCACCCAAATTTCATATAATTTTAATGAACTGTCTACCTTACTGACATATGCCGTTGCCAATAGAAGACTTCTCTACAAATACTTATTCTTAAAAATTGCAGTTTAACTTCGAATGTATCTTGCATTTCAAAATCATATGATTGTTGAAATATAAAGTGAAAGAAGTGGTATATATGATAAATATATAAAATATTATTATATTATAGTTGGTGTTTCTATTACTTGACGGTTTAAAATTATTTACAAATAATAAAATCCATAATATATATTTTTAAAAACCATTGATATTAATACTGGAAACAACACTCAAAATAAAAATATAATTAAATGCAAATGAAATGTAGTGACTCTCTTCTTCATTAAACCATTCAAGTACAGCTTATTTTATAGTAAAAAATCTGGAATAATATTAATATAGAAATTTGTGTAAGATATGTTTGGAAATACAAAATATAAATGCAGAGTTTGTTGCTACATCAAAACGAAATAATAATGTATATTATTAACATTTAATTTTCTTGATATTAATAAAACTTTTTAGTTATATTACTTTATCTCTGAATATTAATTTCTTTGTAATAGTTGCTGTTTCATTCCTAAGTTAAAGTAATCCCAACGCAATTGATCATTAATTTCTAGAAATTTTGTTCAAAAAACTGTTTGTTTTAAGAATTAATATTAAACAAATAATCCCAGTTTCAATGTCTATTACATTAAAATAATCTTTATAAATAAATATGTATAACGGTGACATGTGAAAATATGGTAAAACGTTTAATCAAAAGATATATATTTAATATTTTTTAACTTATCAAATTCTTGTTTATAAGTTTCTAATATAATTACATACCAACCACAGTATTACCCTGTATAATTAACCTTGAAATGATGTATTTTCAATCAATTTTATACAAAACGTCGTAGCATACTTTTTGGCGTACATTAATTTAATTTATAAATGATGTCCAGTTCTTATTTTTAAACATTTTTTGTAATTATAAAAAGATTTATATACAAATTATACACAGATACATAAAATATTAAAATTCACAACTAATTTTTACGTAGAAGTAGGAAGTGAAATAGCAATGCAAATGTATGTCACATAAGTTTATAAGAATATAATTTTTATAATATTAATCACATAGACACATGTTGTTATTGTCTGTTAGTTAAGGTAGAGTTTACAAGAAGGGGAATATATATATATATATATTTACATTAATAATGTTAAACAAATAAATTCGTGTAGTAAAACCGTTCACAGGTAAGAGGCAATAGTGTGAATAAAAATCTTTTGGAATTTCTTTAATATTAAAGTTCGATTGATGGCTTCGTTGAAAGATATGTTTAAATAAAAGCACTTGTGATTGCTTAGCTGAGGACTTGAGGGAACTGAGTTATATAACACAAAGACTCATTAGCACAAGTAACAGGGTAAAATAATCGAAAAGGTTTTAACACAATTTGGATGATCAATCGCTAAACAACAATCCAATTAAATGACGAATAAAAAAAAACTGTCAGCTTGTAGTGTTGTTTAGTTGAGATTGAGTGCATCCACTCACCACCCACCATCTGCAAAAAGAAAGCCTTTTGCCAACTTGAGTTCCTTATCGATTTCCTTTAATAGATCGCTTTCAGACCAACTGCGACGATTTGGGGGTAGAAGAAATCGTGTTTTTTTACGTTGCTTTACATTATAAGGATTGGGTATAGATGTTGCAGCAGTAGGAATCATTGTTGCATTCTCGACGCCTTTTCTGCGTTGCAATTGGTGTTTAGTGGTAGGACGAGGCATTGCTAGATCTGTCTTGTAATTCGATTTTTGTACAAATTTCGTATATTCTCGAGATTTAGAGTTACAATACTTATGTTGAGTTTGTTC